TTGATTTAGGGATTTCAATCTAAGCGGTTCCAAGAAAAACAAATAGTTTTGTACTATATTTCATTACCCATTTCTATACAAAATATTACTAACGTCTAGACGAAAACTTTTTCCTACAGAAAAATTATGTCAGCTTCAAATAATTTATCAGCGTTATTCATTTTACTATATTTATCATTATGTTGCTAAAATCGAGTTAATTTGGTCACGGGTGACCAAATCGACCCCTAACTTTGTTCTTTCTTTTTATTCCTTTGAAAGTTGCATGCTACTATTATTTTTGATAGCATTTAAACGTCTGTTTCATAAAATTAGTGAATTAAATATGGCTTATGCGGGCTCAATTGTTTATTTAAATCAATTCGGAAAACTCAGAATGAGTATTAGTTGTCCTACGATAACAAGTGTTCTCGCACAAAAAGTTCCAGACCAAATTCCGGTAAAATATAACAGTCCCCAGGATGCCCGTAAGTTACTGACATAGTTTATGTGTTAGTTTTTGCCGTGGATCTCAGGAAAATGTACAGGAGGGCTGAAGGTAGATCAAAGCTTAACTCCGTCCCGTCCCCGTCAGGGGACACCGGTGAAAGGGCTACAGGTAGATAAATATAATACTATACGAAATTTACTCTTATGAGATAATAATGCTTTTGTTGTTCTCCCATTTGAGTATTTCTGCTAATTAAAATATTCGTAATGTTGTATTTTTTGCGTCCAGCTCTTTCTAATAAATGTCCATGGTCAGTGATTCACAAATCTTTAATCGATTTGGCCTTAACATAAGAGATGACCTTGAGGAGAACATGACCCCATCTTTAGCATGAAGTAATGATTTGAGCTTTGTACTTAAAATTCTGATTAATAACATTCAAAACATACTGATGGTGTTTATTAAATTTTTATGTAAGATTATTTATTTTACTTCTTAGTGCATGCGTGTAAAATACAAGATTCAGATGTTATAATTCTCCCTGCAATTTCAAAATTTCTCCATGTATATTAAATATAGTTTTCTCATTTTACTTAAAGAAGGCAAAGAAATTCATTTGCCATAATTTGTAACGAAAACAATATTTTATTTACAACTTCACCCATTATAATTGATGTCAAAATTGCTACACCAAGAATTGCGTCCCAGATAAAGACGTGACTTCATGATTCTTCAAGAAAAGCAGTGTAAACTTTAACTATTAAAGGTATCTCGTCCTTCTAATCGGCGTATTCAAAAAAAAAAGTTAATACTGAAAAATATATTTACAACCGCAAAAGTATTGAACGTTTGGAATTGAGTCAATTAGAGAAATCGGAAGAGTTTATATTTCACGGGAGAAAAAAAATTGTTCAAAACTATACTATCAGAATAATTAAAAAATATGAAAATATTCATTAAAATAATAAAAAATATAAAAATATTCATTAAAATAATAAAAAATATAGTCATAGTTAAATCAAAAGTCATTAGAAGTGTGGTCATCATATTTACGTCCTACCTGAATTGATTAGCTTTGTCTTTAAATTTTTTACATTGTACATTGCTTTCTCTTTACATTGGGAATGTTTTATCTCACCCCTTTATGAAATGGTTAAAAGGAGAAACTTGTTGTACTGTAGCTTTTTTTCCCCAAGTTTCGAAACACATTTACTGTTAATACAAAAGATAATTTCAATAATAGGATTTTCATAACCGGGTAAAACTAAGTGAAAATTATTCCCAGGTTATTAAAAGGAAAACCATAATAAGGACAGTTCGCAATGTATTTTATAATAGAAATGGTTCGCCAATGCATTATAAATTAATTTAACGCAAAACATTTCATAATTTTGCAATTCATATAATAGATCTAATTCCACAACCAAATAGCTTAGAAATAACTTGGGAAAGGGAAATTATAATTGGTAAATTTAAAACGGTTACTATCTATATAATCATATAATAAAATACACTGTAAAAATTTCCGGATCAAATTACTGGATAAAGTACTGGTGTTTCAGATGCATGATCCGTAAAACCTATTTTTACCGTAAAATATTATTCAATAATTTTTACAGTAATATTTGCTTAATTAGAATGACCCAGTGATTTCAAGATGAATATTACTACAAATATTAGGGTATTGCAGATTTTTGTTCCGTTATATATTCCGGTGAAAATGGTAAAGTGGATTCTACGGTAAAAAGTACAGTAATTAGATAAGATTATTATTACAGTGTATGCTGATCCTCCAAATTGGGCTGAACATAAATTCAAAGTTATATATTAATTATCTTTCAGTATTTAATGTTATATCATATTCTAAAATATGTTTCTCTTTGCCCTTAGCACAATTAAAATAAATCATAACATTAGTTTATCCCGAAATAGTTATATTTTCCTATGTATAAAATATCTTTTCAGCATAAAACTATTATTAGAAGTACTAACTGACTAAAAAAAAACAATAACTAGCAAGTAATTATGATATTATCGTTCTTTTGTACAATAACATCATTTCGTGAGAATGTCTATTTGCTCTTTATCGAGAAAGTGGCTATTTACATTTGTAGCACGCAAATTGAAAACAGGAATAAATACTGAGATAAATATTTACAAATGTGGAGCTTTTAATTCTTACTATTCAATCATCTTATTATTTCTATCACAGTAATTTGATCCGTAATTTTATTTCATTGATTCAAGCAACTCATATATAAGAGATGTTACTTAAGTTGATAATGTAACAGTGCTGTCCGTAAAATAAAAGCAAAAAAATAAATTTCATTGATAAAAATCTCTGAAAGATAAGAATGTGATGTAGAATGATAAGAATCGTTGAAAGTAACCATTGATTCTTAATTTAACATAATTTGAAGCAAAATATGCACTTATTAAACAAAGTTTACAATATTTATTTATAAAAAAGGGCTACATAACATTATTAAAAATATTGTTAAAACTGCATAATTTTGTTCAGAATAGTGCTGGTGCCCAACCTGATAGGCAGCCAAATCGTGGCATTTGTTCATACCACATCCGTGAAAATAATTAACAAAATAACCTTTCCTATATTTAAAGAATGAATATATATATATATATATATGAATAATGAATATATAATGAATATATATATAATGAATATATATATATATATATATGAATAATGAATATAACACCTCGGAATAAAAGGGCTTAATCTGTGTCCTTGCTTGTTGCAATAGTAATAAAATATTTCTTGTGTGTAGAAATTATTTAAAATTGATATAAGATTTTTAGTTCTAAATTCAGCCTTCAATGTTATCCAGTGTAATTATATAGTAGAATTACAGTACTATACAGATTATTTATTACATCTCATTGCTGTTATGCCTTTTTTTAATTTTGTAAAAGCATGGATTAACACTTTGCTTGAAACGCAACGTATGCATTACTGAATGGTATGGATATGATTTAAGAGCAACGTACCTACCTTAACTATTTCGACTACTAAACAGATTGAGTTTTAAGGGATTTGAATTATACCCTACAAAAAATGACCAATAGAAACCAATAAAAACATTCATTGATATCAATAGAATTCTATTGGTCTGTACTTGTTTCTATTGATATTTCAACTGATGTCAGTAGTGTATTGGCATCAATAGATGTTGAACAATAGGGTATTCTATTGGTCTGTACTTGTTCCTATTGACATTTCAACTGATATCAGTAGTGTACTGGTATCAATAGATATTGATCAATAGAATTCTATTGGTCTGTACTTGTTCCCATTGACATTTCAACTGATATCAGCAGTGTATTGGTATCAATGGATATTGATCAGTAGGTACTCTATTGGTATATACTTGTCTGTATTTCACACTTCAACTGATGACTACTGACATCAGTAGGGTACTTGTATCAATAGATGTTGATCAGTTAGGTATTCTACTTGTTTTATCAATGTATGAACTGATATCTACAGATTTTTATTGACACCAGTAAAACTTAGCAATTATTGATCAATAGGTATTTTATTAGTCTATATTTGTTTTCATTAATACATCAACAGGTGCCTATAGAATTNCAGTACACTCTACTGATATCAATGTTCCATTTCCCCGTACAGACCAGTACACTCTACTGATATCAGTCCATTCTACTGATATAGACCAATACATTGTATTGACCTACTCTACTGATATCAATATATCATGACCAGTCCATTGTACTGATCTACTCTATTGATATCAGTGTTCCATTTCCCCGTACAGATCAATACATTTTTTTTTATTGATTTCTATTGGTCATTTTTTGCAGGGTACTTACCCCTAATGTCAAAAATGGAGTGAAGACTATTTCTAAACTAATTGAAAATTATATTGAATAATTATATTGAAAACGCCATTTAAAAGGGTTTAACGATTCTTGCACGCCAAACTTCAATCACGGAAAACCTCAATTTATACGTGGATCATTCGAAAGAAATGGCAACCGCTTTCCTAAATCATACCACTGACATTCTCAATTAATTTTTAGGATTTACTATTACGAAAAATAAAAATTACTAATATTATTACCAAAAAATTAAAATAAGTAGGGGAGGGTAGCCTAAAGCGTGTAGGTCGCCTAAAGCGGGTAGGCATACGTATCCCGCCGCATGGCGCGCAAGCAGCGATATCTAAGTATGCCGTGATTACCCGAATACTCACGAGTTTCAATCAGTCCCTGTGGAGCTGAAAAAAAACGACATAGCGTAACCAAGCACAAAATAAAAAAATTAATAATTTTATTAAAAAAAACCAAGGTATGTAGCTTGTGGCTAGTCGAAAGCCGGCTTATTTTTTTATTGTCAATATTATTGCATTATTCTAACACTATTCACCTATAAACTACGATGTTCAATTTTTTAAAATTTTTTTTTAATTTAAGGTTATAATTTTTTTCGTAAAAAATATGCTTTTGGGCAAAGCGGGTAGGGCAAAACGGGTAGATACACGATTTGACCCGATACATTTTTATACTAACTTTTCTGTATTTTTGCAAGATCACGAGGTTTCAATCGGCCTCAAGTTTACAGATTTTATGATTTGTTGGAAAGAGAAATTGATGAGCATGACATTGATCCAACAAGAATCTACAATATGGATGAAACTGGCATTCGTGCATCTGGTAATAAACCTCCGAAAATTTTGTCAAAATCAGAGAAAAAACAGGTGGGTGTAATTTCAAGCGCGGAAAGAGGAAAATTGATGACTGTTATCCGCTGCTGCAACGCGGCTGGATCTCTTACACCTCCATTTTTTATTTATGGTAGAAAAATAATGGTTGGTAGATTGTTAGATGGAGCACCCCCTGGTTCCCTAGGTACTTACACTGACAACGGATGGATTAATGGACCGAAATTCCTAGATTGGCTTCATCATTTCGTCGAGAACACCAGTCCAACTCCTGAGAAAGAACTAATCTTAATATTAGATAACAATGAATCTCACAAATATATTGAGGCCCTTGAATATGCTAGAAAAAATAATGTGATTTTTGAATCGCTGCCCCCTCTTACAACTCATCGTATGCAACCTCTGGACAGTTGCGTTTATGGACCGTTCAAAACTTACTTTGAACAAGAAGTTTCTACTTTTCAACGATGCCATTTGGGTAGAATAATCACTCAGTACGACGTAGCTTCATTTGTTGGAAAATCATATTTAAAAGCAGCTAGCGCACGAAATGCTGTTCAAGGATTTAAATCCTCAGGAATACGGCCCACGAACCGACACATATTTAGCGATGCTGACTTTTTGCCAGCTAGTCTGGCAGACAGGGCTGAGGTTATTGAAAACACCAACGATAGTCCATCTCAGATCCAATCTACTAATGCTGGTCGTCTTTCTAATAATTCTAATTGCTCTACTTCTACATCTGTATTTGAAAACATGGATCTCAATTGCTCTCAAGCTTCAAGGATTTCGCTACGACGCACAAACGGAGAAACTTCGTATGATCCAGCTGTTGAAGATGATCCTTCATGTTCCACGACAACTAGTGACAATTCATTTCAACTAGTAGAAGAGCCATTGACACCTCATGTGAAGCCTTTGGATATTAGATCACTACCAAAACCTACTCCGAACAAAACTAGTCGTAAACGTAAACCTCAAAGAGCTGAAGTCTTAATAAGCTCACCATTTAAAAATATGCAAATAGAAAAGGAAGAAAAGAGGAAACGTCTTAGTAACAATGCTGCTGTTAAAAATTTTTTTAAAAATCTTCCTCCGACAAGTAAACCAGGTAAAACTAAAAAACAAAAATCTTCAAAGAAAAAATTGTAAAAGAATATTTTTGTCTTGTTTGTGGGGGTGCCTTTATGAGGACCCACCGCTAGAAGATTGGATGGAATGTGGAGATTGTAAAGACTGGGCTCATGAAGCTTGCGCAACTTATTCAGGAAGAGGGTCTTATTTTTGCGAACTATGTCAAGAATAACAAATCATAATTTGATACTGATAAAATAAGTCTAAAATTGTTACTTATATGTTATTTTTAGCATTTATTATACGTATGATTAAGATCTCATTATTAATGTTTAAGAAAATTTATATGCGCCTGTATTTGTAAAATCTATGGTGCTTACCCGCTTTGCCCGAACGGCTAACCCGCTTTATGTCCCTTGTAGGGCAAAATGGGTATTTTCAGTGTTTTTTATTTCTGATGATAAATAATCATAAAATTTAAACTAAGGCAATAATCATTTTTTTATTTTAAAGTTCAAGATCTCTCTTAAGAAATAAAATAAAAAACGCTGCGATAAAAGCCCAAAAACTACAACTTTTCAGAGTTTATTATTAGGCCATCCTCCCCTAGCTGAATTACTCCATTTTAGAATGATATGATTTTAGTGATCTGTTAAAAATAAAAGTGATCTGAAAAAAATTAAATATTAAAACTAGTATGATTTAAGTAACTCTAGATACTTTATGCATAAAATTATTTTTAAGATCTATGAAGCTACTTGTGTAAGCAAATTGCATGAATCTTTAAAAAAAGTAATAGTTTGGGTGATAGGAAAAAATATTTATTTTTTTAATTTTTAATGATTGATAATTAAACGCAGTGTTTTGCGAATTGTACTCAGGAACTTCTTATAATAATGCTTAGGATATACCTAATGGAGAGGAAACCAAATGAAATTATTTTTTAAGGTTTCACTAAGGGAATGAATTAATTAACTTATGAGAATTTCTATAATGAAGAAACAATATAGAAATAAAATTTCTCATCAGAAAATAAATGGAAAACCCTACAGTGGAGAGACAACTATCAAGTACAATTTCACACTGTTTTTTTTAAGAATAAAGTTAGAAATGTATTTACCTTCGATAATAATTTGTTTCACGTATAGATAATGTTGATAAAATATATTTTGTGAAACTTATGTGACGTGACGTGGAGGGAATTTATGTTACGTAATATGAGTGGCGTGTGGGATAAAATCATCCAAATACTCGTGTTCTGAACTAATTTTAGCTTTTATTCCGTGAGAAATGCGTTTGAACTTGAGAGATTTGCTTCTACTACTTAATTCATAATAGTAAGTATGTACATTGAAAGTACATTAATAATTTTTGAAAACTCTCTCTAAGATGGAAAAAATTACGGTCAATCAATATCTATATCTCAATTAGTTGATGATTCCAGTTTTTCACTAAGGGAATGAATTAATTAACTTATGAGAATATCTATAACGAAGAAACAGCATAGAAATAAAATTTCTTTTCAGAAAATAAATGGAAAACTCTACAGTGGAGAGACAACTATCAAGTATAATTTCACACGATTTCTTTTTAAGAATAAAGCTAGAAATGTATTTACCTTCGCTAATAAGTTGTTTCACGTATAGATAATGTAGAGATATTGTTGATAAAATATATTTTGTGAGATCTATGTGACATGACGTGGAGGGAATTTATGTTACGTAATGTGAGTGGAGTGTGGGATAAAATCATCGAAATACTCGTGTTCTGAACTAACTTGTGAGATTTGCTTCTACTACTTAATTCATAATAGTAAGTATGTACATTGAGAGTACATTAATAATTTTTGAAAACTCTCTCTAAGATGGAAAAAATTACGGTCAATCAATATTTATATCTCAATTAGATGATGATTCCAGTTTTTCCTTTATTACCTAATCACAATATTTAATTTTTTGTAGAAAGAAACGGAGACGGCATTATTCTTTTACCTAATAAAAGATTATTTATGCATTTAATTTATCTTGTTTCCTTTTCTATTGATTGCACTTAATAACTAATTAAAAACAATTCATTTAGCATTTTGTACTTTGTTATTAGTTCAGTAATTATAGCAACAACAACAAAGGAATTTCTTCAAAAAAAATTACACCTGAGATATTTTTGACATAAAGCTTTGTTATGTTTTTATACATGATACTTTAAAACTCTCATACTTTCATCTGTAGCTTACCTGTTTTTCAGAGAAAATGGGTTTTTTGAGTGAGGGACCATAATTTCTTCTAGGCAGGCTAATGAGGTATATTTTCCGATATATTTTTATGCTGATTTTTATAAGACCGAGACGATTAGAGTAATAGTTTAGAAGTTACAAGTGTTCTGCATACGAAAAATTCAAAATTGTACTTGTACCTATTTACGCACCTGCAATTTGCTACTTAAATGAGTGAGACACTGTGTTTTATGCATTTTTACGATGAATCGAGTGAGGCTATAAATGAGTGAATAAAAGTAATTGTTCAAAAGTTTCTAGGATTTTTATGTTTAAAAAGTAATATATTTGACACGCAATTATGTATACATTTTTCAATGCCACCAGAGAACTATTCGAACACGCAATGTATTTTTCGTATATTTCGTAGTTTTACGCCAAATTTAATTCAGAACAATCTGGCTCAAATTAAAAAATTATAGATGTTTTCGTCTTAACATTTAACATTAACGTCTTAACATTAACGAAAAATAGTTGTTTTAATAAAGAAACAAGTAATTTTTTTAAAAAATATTAGCTCTTTTGATTCTTGTTTGTTCTCATTCAATTGGATGAGTAAAATAAATAGATAAAGTACCTCAATTGTCTAATAGCAATGTGAGATACGTAAATAAGTACAAGTAGAAAATTGTACTTTTTGTACATAAAACGAGTTTCTAAACTACTTGTCCAATCACCTCGAGATTAGTCTCATACAATTTATAAAAAATTGTATTGGTAAATATGCATTACATGTTTAGATAAATCTTGGATTGCAATGCAAATTTTATACAAATGTGTACTTAAAAATTTATTGTCTGTAAAAACTTGCAACTTTTGAATAATTTGTTCTATTGATTTGTGTATCTACTCATTCGATTTAGCGCAACAAAATGCGTAGGAACAATGCATCACTTGCTTAGTTAGCTACATCAAATGCATGAAAAGTATAAATCTATACTATTAGTACAATAAATCTAGCTGTTTTTTCACTTAAAACACTTATAACTTCTAAACTATTAGTCCGGTTGTCTCAAGACTGGCCTTATTCTATTTAGAGTAAGAACTGAATTAGAAATAATGTCACTTTTTTTTTTATTCGAAGAAATATTATTTCTTTTTATCAAATCCCACGATTTCCCTTCAAAAATGATGGAAGCGTATAGAGGAGAGCGGACACATGATTTATAAAGCATAACATATTTTTTTGGATATTAATTAATATGAAGAAATTGTTTAATTTTACTCTCCTGCATAAAAAAACAACAAAATAATAATAATGCCTAATATTCCTTCTTTATTGATATCCATTTTATTCTGTGAAAACATGCGAATGCTTTCATCCTAACTAAACTGAGGATTATTTGTTTTTCCAGGATCGTTATTCTTAAATAGATATGTTACGGTCGGAAAAAAATAAGGTAGGATTATAGATCAAACAGATAAAGTGTTTCTCAGAAATATTAAACTAGAAATCTATATATTTTTTACTATTGTTAACTAGTCACGTCATATATATTTTAGTGCAACATAAAAATAGACATGACATGATAAATGTATTTCTAGCGTAAAGAGATTTTGGAAAAAATGTATTTTATTATGAACTAATTACCATCTGACTAGGAATTTTGTTCCTATCTGGCTAATTTAATTATTTTCTATTTTTGTTTCAGGTTGACTCTGTCTTTTGAAAATTTAAAGAACGTTGTTTTATATATAGTTTGCAGGACATAAATATATTATTGCACTTTAGGAAATATCCTTACATTATTGCATTTTATACGTCGATTATCTTCGACATAGTATAATGTATGCTAAATACTCCAATTTCGGTAATTATCTAAAATGTTCTGAATCCGAATCATTACATACATACATTATGAACACAGCTCTTACTTTAAATACATAGATACATGCGCTTCTAATCAATTTAATAGTAAAAAAAAGTTATGCGGAATCAAAAATTTGTCAATCATTTAAAATAGTTAACTGTAAAGCTATTTTAAGAAACATACATTAAATTCCGTAATGTACATGTTAATTCTCATTATATATATATATTATACATAAATTCGATTATTTTGACTCTAGATTTTCCTATAACTCCTTATAAAAACAATATAATAAATAATCCTTTTGTAAATGTAATGAACTAAGTTGAAATTACAACTGCAAATGCTTATGCTTAATATCTTTATCTTTGAATCTGAGAAAATAAACACAAATACAATATAGTATTAGTAAATAGTAAAATATTTTATTCAGCAGTTTTTTTAATTAATCTATAACTATAAAATGCATTGAGAATATAAAAATTTTAAAGATTTTGATCTAGCACTTTAAAAGTTGATTCTTTTGACCATTATTTCTCAATAATGATTTATTTTTGATTTATTTCTTATTTATTTAAATATTGAAAATTCAAGTTTAATTCAAGTTTAAATATTCAAAATCCCAACTCCTTTTTCGATGCTTTGAATTTCGAATGCAAAGTAATGGTTTTAATATAAATAAAGGTAACTCATGTTCTTGAAAAACGAAAACTATTAAAAATTCATTAATTATGCACGGAAATAAGAAATTTTGGCAAAATTACCGTAATGTTTGGTAATGATATTTATTGTAAAAAAAAGAATATCTCTTTTTTGTGTAGCTCAAATGTACAGTATTTAAATCCTTCATTAAGTACTTTTTTCCGTTCGAATAGTAACAGTTTCGTGATGATTTTAATGTCACACACAAAATCTCTCTTAGGACTAGCAATTTACCACAGTAAAAATACATTAAAACCGAAAAATAACAGCTTTCACACTTCAATTTAATTATTTTTAAACCTGTAATTGTTTAAAAGATAAGAAATGAAACATCAGTATCATTTAATTTAATTCGATGCATTTATAAGCAGTGACACCATCACAAGTCATTATCACACATTTTGCTAAAAAACAGGAAAGTACATTTCACAGAATAAATGCCATGTTCTAAGGTGTCATGATGAAAAAAAAATGTTACTCATTCAATTTTACCTCATTTAATACCAAACATATATAAAATAACATTTATGTGGTAAAAAATAATTATTTTATGGTTAATTTTACCAAAATCAATATCAAAACACTCGATTTTTTGGTGTTCCCATAGAGCCAGAAACACAGTAAATATTCCTATGTTCAAGGGTTATTCACCTTTTTTATTCAATGTACAATCCATGAAATCTTATATGAAATAGATAAAATAAAGATATAAATAATGTTTTTTTTTATTAAGGTTCACTGTTATGGTTTTGCTAAATTATTATTATTATTATGCTTATATTTATTTCAATTATATTTGACAAATATAGTTTAAATAAATATGGCTCAACATCCTGCAAATAATTACTAAAAGAAATTAAATTTTTAAACGAAGATTTAAAGAAAACACTCCATCACTTTTAAAAAATTCTATGTTGAAATAAAATGTTGGGGAAAAAAGAACCTCTCGAAACGAAGAGAGAGAAACATTTCTCTAGAATAATTCTAAAAATAATAACCATTTACAAAGAGTAAGCTAAACATGAAATTGGCAACATCCAAACGGTAGTCATTTGTTTCACGCAGTTTGTCCTTTTTAGTAAAAATGTCTGTCTGTGATAAATAAAAAAAAATAGTGGAACACATCGGTAGTGTCACGAGATATGCTCGTTTGCAATGTGGTTGTTGTAAGATACATGTACAAATTTCGTTTTAATTCGTATGGGAAAGAGGTTGTTAGCGTTGAGCACAAGCATTCCGCATAATGTAGCTTTCTGTTGTTTTGGATGGCAACATGAATGGCGTACAGGAAACGGAAAAATTGTTGAAGTATAATTTGTCTCTGTCTCGAACGTGAGTGGTGTTCTGATTGTTCCAGTTACACTTCGAATAAATTTCGGAAAATATAAATGTAAAGAATTGTTTCCGTTCTGTGGGACGCTTTATTTTTAGATATTTCAGTGCAGTTATATTTTTCAAACATTTAAATTGGAATCTGTAAATTTATTTATGGAAAGAAGTAGTATTTCTGGAAGTAATTAGTTATTATTTAATGAATGTAAAACTTAAATGTACTTCTAATATTTATGTATATTATACTTATAGGTATGCGTTAATCATGAGGACATTTTGTAAATGCATTCTGTGTGGAGGAGAACATATTCGAAAAAGATAAATAAAAGGGAATTTTACATACAACAATACATACACTAAAACTGAAAAAAAATTATTTTAAATAAAAATTTTACGTTATATTGATCTTTTTTTATAAATAGTGTTTTTAAACAAAAAAACATGACTGTTTTTATAAATAAGTATATCAATAAACAAATATCAACAAAGAATTGAATACGATAGCATAAAAAATCATTTTTAAGTATGATATTAAAGAGAGATATTATGAGATTAAGTATGATTAAGTATGATAATTTCACCCCAAAAATGAATTTGCAGACAGAAGTACGTAAATATCTATCTAGCTATCTATCTATCTATCTATCTATCTATATATCTATCTATCTATCTATCTATCTATCTATCTATCTATCTATCTATCTATCTATCTATCTATCTATCTATCTATCTATCTATCTATCTATCTATCTATCTATCTATCTATCTATCTATCTATCTATCTATCTATCTATCTNGACATGCATTACATGTACGGCCGTGCAAATGGTAACGGCAGAGCTGCGTTACGAATGTATCGCGCGGAGTATCCTGATCGACGAATGCCGGATCATAGAATTTTTCAACGGTTACATCGTCAACTTTGTGAAACAGGTGCGTTCGACGTCAACAGACATGACGCTGGTCGATTAAGAGCTGTACGCACTCCAAGGCTGGAAGAAAGCATCTTGAACATTGTGGCTGATAGACCCGAGTCAAGCACAAGAACTGTTGCGCGTGACGTAGGTGTGAGTCATCAGACTGTATGCAGAGAGTTAAACGAAAATCGCTTACACCCCTTCCATTTTCAGAAAGTACAAGCATTGAATCCGGCAGATTATCCTCTCCGCGTGAACTTCTGCCTGTGGGTGATGCAGCAATGTGCGTTGCAGCCGGATTTCGTAGGTGATGTGCTATTTACAGATGAAGCGACATTTTCACGCGAGGGTGTCTTTAATGCGCACAATTCCCATGTGTGGGCAACCGATAATCCACATGCAACGCGTCCACATGCGTTTCAACAACGTTTCTGTATTAATGTGTGGGCTGGTATTGTGAACGACTTTTTGATTGGCCCATACTTACTACCCACGCGACTCAGTGGCGGAAGCTATCTTATTTTTCTGAAAGAAGTGTTACCACAACTGCTGCATGATGTTCCGATCGCCATTCGTAACCGCATGTGGTTTCAGCACGATGGGGCGCCAGCACACTTCAGCATTGATGTACGGAATTACCTGAATGCCACGTTTGGTGCTCGATGGATTGGGCGTGGTGGACCAATCCCTTGGCCACCCCGATCTCCCGATTTATCGAGCCTCGATTACTTTTTATGGGGACATCTAAAGCATCTTGTTTATGAGACTCCAGTTGACTCAGATGAGGATCTCGTCGCTCGCATATCTGTAGCTGCTGCAGGTGTGCGTGAAATACCAGGCATCTTTGAACGTGTACGCCAATCGCTCCACCGACGCTGTCAAGCATGTATCGCTTCTGGTGGACGCAATTTTGAACACTTACTGTAAACATGACACTTGTCAACAACGCTTTCAATAAAATCTTTGCTTTTCCTTTCGGCCGTTATTTCTGGTGTTTACGCCTCACCGCGTCACTTGCGACTGTACATTCCTATACAATAAATCATTGTTACAATGTCCTGTACCTACCATTAAAGTTTGTACCATGAATTCGGGACCACCCTGTATATATATACTGTGAATGACCGAAATTGGTGGTTGTTGACAATCACATAGTCGCTATGGTAAATGTCCAAAATACATACTATGTCTTGTTAAGCGCCACTGCCGGTATACATTTGCCCGGTATGCCCTACATCAATGTTTTTAAAGGTCAAGTGCCACTGATGTTTCTCCTAATCTATCCTCGGATGATATTAAAATATAGAATAAATATAATAATATCAGCGAATAAATTATTATCAAATCGGATATAACAAATATTTGTAATATCCGATTTGATATAAATTTATTCGTTGATAATAGGAGAAACATCAGTGTTTGGAGTTCCGGGAAAATTTATACCGGGCAGTAGCACTTAACTAAACCTTGTATATATTTCGGACATATACCAAAGTGACTATGTGATAACATTCCCCGGTGGAATTCAACAACCTCCAATTTCGGTTATTCACAGTAATGTAATGCAAAATAATATAAAAATAATGCAACTATACAGCTCAAGTTTTTTTAAGCAAAGTGATATGATAAATAAATTATGTTGTAAAAAAGGGTTGGGTAAGAAATGAACGGTAAGAAAAAAATATTTCAGAAATTTCGATTAATTTATCAAATTAAAATTTTAAAATGCGCACGCATATTCTGCACAAGGTATCTGTCTTGAAGTCGGCACTAAATATAATTCAATTGCATCTCTGCCTCTTATTTAAATACATATATACATATATTATTTTTTTTATCTTGATTTTAAATTTCTTCGAAAATACGTTAAAATATTTCAAAGCCATAAACTTTCC